AGGCCCATGCTGCCTTCGCCCTTCTCCCGGAAACTCTGTTCCTCACCGTCAACCTTCTCGACAGGTACTGTTCCAAGAGGGTCGTGTACAAGCAGCACTACCAGCTTGTCGGGTGCGCCGCGCTTCTCATTGCCGCCAAGTACGGGGACAAGAAGGATCGCGTCCCTCAGATTCACGAGCTCAACAACATGTGTTGCGGACTCTACGACGCTGGCATGTTCACTCAGATGGAGATGCATGTGCTCAACACGTTGGAATGGACGATTGGTCACCCAACCGTGGACTTCTTCTCGCAGCTAATTGTGGCAGAGGAGCATGACAGGGTCGAGGTTGAACACATGGCCGCATACATTTGCGAGATTGCCTTGTACCACCGCGATTTCGTTTCATCAAAGCCCTCGGTCATGGCGCGCTCATCACTAGCTCTAGCCCGCGCCATCCTCGGTGAGCCCGAGGTCAACGACGGCGAGTGGGATCACGTCGACAACATCACGCTGCTGACTCTCTCTCAACACCTTCACCAGCCCTCCGTCGCCCTGTCCAGAAAATTCTCCGCGCCTCACTTCTCCGGAGTAGCTAAGAAGCTGGCGTCGTTCATGGCTCACCAGGCCAACATGGCTCGCGCCCAAGCCCAAGCAGGCCCGCCGTCTCCTCCTTCGGACCACGCTACTAAGCATGCCGACATCTACAGCACTCCGCAGAAGGGCCACGGCGCCGTCCAAGGCATGGCCGATGGCTACATGACCCCTCCCATCACACCCGACGGGCACGCTTTCGTCAACGCTCCAAAGGATACGTATCCAATGCCGCCACGGTGCCCGGTTACCCCCACGCCGCAACCTCAACATTCTGCGTACGTGTCACAACACATGATGCAACAGCACTACGCGGCGTACATGCATCACGACACAACGGGGCAGATGGTCTAGGAAGCGAGGGATGGGTGTGCCTCCCTAGGCTTGCCCAGGCAATTTTACCCCTTGCACGGGGTCCACAACAATTTTTTTTCAACTCGTTCACGGCGCGTGACAGGGCCTGCTCAGCAAGACACAGAAGAGGTAGAGCAGCTGAGGAAGGAAACAAAATGTTCTTGCATTGAAGCATACAGAATGGGCTTCCCTCACAACTCATCAGCACGGATTTTTGGCATTCAGCGACTTGATTTTTGCACAAAACAAACGACTCGACTTTTCGACTCGACAGCGGTGAACCACCAAAAAAAGACCCAGGATCAGCAAATACCCCTTTTTCTTCGCACGCAACAACGGCTTTTCGAATGCAGCGGCAGGCCACCTCATACTGGTGGCGATTCGTGGTCGAGGAACCCGACCTCGCGATCAGCTGTTGTAGAACCGGATTCAACGGCTGAATCCGGTAAGCCTCTTTTTCTCTTCTTGCACAAACAACACGCGGAAACCGACATGGACAGCGGTTCAGACTGTAGGATCAGCGCACACGGTCCAGTGGAGGGAGCCTCGGTGAGAATCAGGGACGGGCAGGAGCGACAGCCGCAGACGGCATGTCAAGCTGTTACCAGGGGGAAGGAAGCGCATGGCTGGTTCAAGGACGCCGGCCAGTGGTGGCAACACTATCTGGCCACTAATATCTTGGAGGACCGGCCACTTGAACATATGGGAAGGATATTGGCCACGGCTCGTCTGCCGGGATATGGCAGGGAGCCTGCGGGCTGCAGGAGGCGCCATTCATGTCCTCACACGGAAGCGAAACACTTTTGCTCGAGAACGGACGGATATGTGAGAGCGGGCTCACAGTTGAGCTCTACGCTGCCAATGCAGGTCATCAATGAATCCAGACCAATTACTTCCCTCATAACTGCTCCCCCGCCTGGCAGCTGGTACAAAAGCGCCAAGCCAAAAAATCAGTAAAATTCCTCCAAACATGGACTACCAAGTGACTTGTGAAGACGTTCAGCCTGGCATCGATTTAGTGACACCCCTTGCCTTCCCGTTCCCCCCTCCCTTTCCTTTCCCCTTGTATGTGGCTAGCGTCCATCCATCCCTTCCTTGGCCCAGGCATGTCTCGGGCCCCAAGGAAGACTTGGGCATTTATTACGATAACCTGCGGCGTTTGAGTTTGGCAAAAATCGTACAACGATGGGGCAGTCACAGTTCATGGCTAGCCATCAATCGCGCGACCGGCAGTCACTTGTTGGACTCGAGAGAGCCAGCCGGGCGGCCATGGGGCCAAGGTCGAGACCAGTCATGGTGTCAAAGGTCGTCAAAGGGGGGGGGGGGCAAGGGGGGGTGTTGCTGGCCTCGTCAAGGGCAGGGCTGGAGCGAGATTGATCTTCACGAAAGCACCCCACGCGAGCGGTGCTACGTCAGAGGACACACAGGGTGGTGGGTGGTAGTGGTGGTCGCGTCCGCCGCGTCCCAGAAAGAAGCTGTGTTGGATAAGAGGCAAGGCCAGACTGACTGTGGCTGGCTGGCCGGCCGGGTGGCTGCGGGACCCGCGCGCTCTCTTCTTCGGGCGAGGGTCTATGCCTGTGTGGCTCCTCTCTTTTCCCCTCCCTCCCTCCCTCCCTCTCTTTCTCTCTCTTGCGCTCTTATGCGCAGGGTCTGGAAGAAGAATAGGGCGGCATGACATCCGAGGCGAAGGGATCTATCTTGTTCCCGCGTGGGTGAGAGATTGAGGAGGCTCGGCTGGGCCGCCACCTGCATTCGGGCGGGCAGGGGACACCTGGTGGCGCTCGCTGCTGTGCTAGGCTACCTGTGCTGTATGCCATATGCCATGCTACCTATACGGCGCCATGGCTTCGAGTGGCCTCAGTGGACTTGGTAGGGCCCGGGCGCTCAGATATGGGATTTGCAGTGGAACGAGGCGAGGGTTGTTGTCATGCAGGGTGAAATGAGGTGTGGTCGGACGAGGAGAAAAAAGGTTGAGGATTCGGCCGGTTTGGTTGGTCTGCAGAGGCTCATTGGGGGTGCGCGGGGGCAGAGTTGTACGACAGACTGATAGGAGGGCACGCAGGTCTCGAATGCACATGCGAGCTGGCGCCATCTGCCATGATGAAATGGGCTTCGTGGCTCACGCGAATTCTACCAAGGGATGTCGGATGTCATGGTGGCTCTTCAGGGTCTTGGATTAGTGTGTCGTGCTATCGCCAGGTAGTGGGATGTAGGGAGGGAAGGAGGCAAGGAGGCTAGCAGGGACCAATGTCGATTGCGCTTCTTACCCCTTTTTTCTGGAATGGGGGTTGTACTTGCTTGCCTTTGGGGGCGCAAGGGGAGGCAAGAGAGAATGACATAAGCTCACTTGCCATTCAGAGGAGTGGAGCAGTGGGGAGTGGGGAGTGGGGAGGGCCATTCCTGGCTGGTGACCTCGCTGACACTGCATTGACTTGTCAACCTCTCTCTTCCCCCTTATCACCTGTCACCTGGATGCATCAATACCCACTTGGGCAACGGCGCGCCATCAGCACATGCTGGGGGGAGAGAGGTAAAATGACATGAGATGAACTGCCCTGCCTTTTTCTTCTTTTCTGCCGCTTCTCGAGCCTCTTCGGGATGTCCCTGCCCGGCCCCGCTCTGCATAGCGTTTTGGCAGGTGTCTCGTGGCATGGCATGATGATGGCTGACCGGGATTGCCAGGTTATGCGACCTCTACAAGCCGACGGCATAACCCTGCCCCGGGTGCACGCCCTGCCTGCGATGCAGCACACGGCACGCAGCGTACGTCCGCGAGGCTGCGGTATGCGTCGGACATTTGCTCCTGCCTTGTGCTCGGTATCGGGGTCCGCTGGCATGTGGAGAGAGCCTCCGTCCATCCCGAACGACGGGAATGGAGGCCTGCGGCTGTCCGACGCTCCATCTTCCATGACAGCATCACTATGTCCGGGTCCACCAATCCGATTGGGAAGCAGTGCTCATTGCTGAGGATTCATCATCACCATCTTAATCTTCTTCTAATGCTGTCTCGGCTCCATCTCGACTGCCGGCCTTGTGCTGCCATCCCGGTCGACGATCACTGTACGACTCCGTCCATGCCAGCCGTCCTGCTCGACATCGGTCAACCGGACGACCCGCTCGCCTTTCTCGTCCATCACATCATGCGCTATACGCACCAAGGTGGGATTGCCGCCGTTGTCTTGCTCCAATTGATGCCAGTCCATTCTCGGATGGCCTGGGTCGAAGACCTCTGTCGAGCCTGCCTCCCAACGCATCTGGCCCGGCATGCGCTGCGCCCCGAGAACGTCTCGACGGTCTTCGCCCAGCCAGATGGCACCGAGGCCAGGTGTGGACTGCATGTAACATGTCTTCAGGGGTAGAAGGCCTGACAGGCGAAGCGAGCTTTTTCCTTCGGCCTTCTCTGTGATGCTAATGACACGATCATCCATCGACATGCCGTTCGACGGCGGTACTTGGTCGCCGCTGGCGACCATAATCTGGGCCACTGGCAGTATCCCTCCCAAGCTCGGGTGGGCTTGTGGCCATACCGGCTCACTTTCGTCGACGAGCGACTGGCAAGTGCGCGTGTCGCAGACACTGACATGGAGCTCGTACACGGATGTTTGCCTTGAGCCGTTCGCTGTCACAATACGCATCGTGGAGGAGGCGGCATACGTGGCCGGTTTGATGCCCAGCGCGGCAAAGTCTTCCTTGTACAGCATGGGCAGAGTTGCGCCCGTATCGAGGAGCATGCGGTAGTATAGTCGCACAGCCTTCGACCGTGTCGTTGAATGTTCTTCGGCTGGTGCAGGTAGCTTGAGATCAAACATCTTCAGCGGCGGTTTTTTCACACGTTCCAGCAAGTCCTTGTGCTTCTTGTGAGCTTGAAAGCTCCTTTCCGTCTTTGGCTTCGATTTTGCACTCAACACTGCTGCTAGGATGTCATCCTCCCAACTCCCCTTGAGTTTGGTTTTGATGTCCTCCGCCTCCTTGGCCTTGCGGTAGTTGATGTCGTTGATGCGCTTGAAACCCATTGTGACGGAGTACTCGCCCATGCCGAACGCATTGTCAGTTTCCATAGCCCACGTACCCTTCAGAGCGTTTATACTGCCGGCACCCGCTAGGGACGAGCTGCTATTGAGGGGCGGCTCGAACCAGAGCCAGCCGGTGCCATGTTCGGCAGCATATCTATCGAGGCGCTCTGCTCGGTTGTGTGTGAAGGACTCGTAGGAGGGCGCAAAGTCGACAAGGTTGCCGGCGTATATCAAAGCAAAGTAGTCTGATGGTCGAATAGAACCCTCACGATAGCATTGGACGGCAGCCCGCATATTGACGATCTCGCCCTCACACTCGCTGAGTCGTAGTGCGTTTAAGAGGACCTCGATGCGCTCAGCTATTACTCTGTTGCGGAAGACCTCGGTTTCGGACCTGACCCATCAAGTCAGTACTCGTCCAAACGTCGTCGGCCTAGCCTAACCTAGAAGATGTTGACATACAGGCTCTTTTCAATGTATTCACGGTCGTCAATAGCCTCGATGGCGTTCCTGTCTCTCCTTGCCTGCATAAGCTGCTCTGCGATATCTTGCACAGCCTCCTCGCCGTGCTGTACAAGGTTCTCCTGGTAGATCCGCTCCCATTGCTGGACGAGCGCGTCCGCTGCCTCGAGGGCGCTGAGGTCTCGACCGAGCGGTGCGCCAATGATGTTGGTAGGCCTGGGTGAGATTAAGTCCCTGTAGTTTTGGATTCTAGGAAAGGTCTGAGGTTGCGAGTCCTCCACGCTGTCCGGAGATGGCGGCCGGTAGTTTGTTGCTCTGGCGCGGTTGATCTCAAAGTCAATGGCTGCTTGTAGTGCAGCATCCTGGTCCGCAAGAACTTCCCTAGGCGTCTCTGTATGTTGGTTCCCATAGGTTTGCATTGGAGAGACTTGTGCCGCGGGCGCAGACTGTTGCACACTTTCGCTGCCACTATCCGAGTGGTAGTCTGGCCCAGCACCCCCAGGGTTGGGACCGTCATTGTCACCGGCCCAATTTAACATGACGTCTACAGTCGATTGATTCTTGTTGTCTTTCGAGTGTATCGACAGTTTTTTCGAAATTCAAATGGGACTCTCCGTCATCTTGTCTTTCGAGTTATCGTGCAGGACGGGCGTCGGCATCGCAGCCAAAACACCCATAGACTCCTTCTGCGAAGATATTTGACACGCGTGATGATGCTTCATACCGTCGCCCTTTGTTGTGCAACACTTGGCATTTTTTGCTCACCCCATGCGGCGCATGGCTCATCGCAGCTCTGTCGTGTGATTTATCTTGTGCCTTTGTTCTGCCAAAGAGGTGTGCTTCTGCGGCGTCTAGCCACTCCTTTGTCCGCATTGTAGGACCTCTCGCCGCCACCTGCATTGAGAAGACATTGAGGATATCCTTTGATAGGGAATTCAGTCCCTGGAATGAAGACCGTGTCTTTATCCTCAGCTCTTTGTTAGTTGCTTGGATAGGAGCTCCTTTTCAAAATGAGGGCATCTTCCTCTTCGTGTATCAGAAGCTTGCCCTTCTATGTTTGCCTGACACCATTTTTTGGCCTTGTAGCTTCCTCCAATTCGTTCCGAAATGTGTATTTGCGCCGAACTTCTTGACCTTCCAACTTGAATATCTGCTGCTGTTTTTTTTTCCCCTTAGGTGACGGTCTTTTGGTGGCAGCCAGCTGGAGTAGGATATCACCAAACTCCTCCCTAGAGGTTCTCGATCGAGACGACCTACGCAAGGATACAGCAGCCACGACGTTTGCAACTGCAATACAAAGCATACGGTGATCATGGCGGCACCAGAGATGGGTACGTACACATCCAGGACAGAGCTGCTGCATAGATGTTAATACCGAACAGCCGACATGGCCCTGCTGCTCACCAGATACCACGACAAGTTCCCAGCCGATTTCCAAGCCGAGCTGGCATGCCTCATCGAGAGCGCCGACCACTACGACCTCTTCAAACGCGTCGAAGACCTCATCGCCGCGCACAAGCTCGACTACCTGCTCTCCCGCGAGGACAACCTCCGGCGCGCCCTCTGCGAGCTCTACGGCGCGCGCCACCCCTGGCTCGCCACGGCCGACCTCGGCGCCGCCGCCTGGCAGCGCGAGCAGGAACGCGCGCTCGCCGCGTTCCGGGAGCGCGCCGCGCGGGACAGGGCGGCCGGCGTGTCGCGCGACATGCGCAGTACGAGCACGAGCTGAGCCTGGCCAGGGCGCACGTCGCCAAGTTTGGCATCCAGCTGCCCGGCCCCGCTCCCGGGCCGGCGTCGGATGTGCCGCTGGCGCCGAGCATGGGCGGGGTGCCGCCGCGGCAGCCGTTCACGGCGGGTTGGACCTTTCGCGAGGCGCCTGCGGTGGAGGGAATCTCTTTTGAACCCAAAGCGACTTGCGAGCAGTTCTTGCCGCAATCGCCTGTCGTGGTGGAGCTGTCGGACAGTGACGAGGACGGAGTCGATGATGAGCCGACGACGGAAGACGGAGATGTACTGATGCGTGACGTCGGTCTAGAGGCACCGGAACGAGAGCCTGCTCCGGGGGATGCCGTCTCGGCCATGATATCTAGCCTCGGTGGCGACGGGACCACAGAAACAACGACAAAAACGACAACAAAACGCCCTGATGAAGTAATAATAGTTGGCGGTCTGCGGATTCGTCTGACTCCCGAAACGAGAAAATGGAATGCGCCGAAACTCAAAGGTCACATTGAGAACTTGCTTAGGAAGAGTGGGAACACGTCGCATGTTGTTACTTTGGCGGAGGTTCAGAAGATGGTAGACACCTCAGCAAAGATCCAGGACAAACCCGTTCCTAAAACCCCACAGGACCGACATGTGCGGGAGGAAGATGAAATAACGCCGCCACAGGTCGATACTGAGACGACCATCCAAATACCTACGCCTGAAACGAGCCTTGACAGCGACGTAAGGGCCGAGCTGCGGCGGAAAGCCCTCGATGCACACGGCCTAAAGCATGGGCTTCAGCAGAGTGGAACGACTGGGAGGGGAACATCCGCTATACCAACGGGAAGTCATGACTATTATGATGAGAACTGGCTCAAAAACTGGCTCATCCACAACGACATGGCGACCCCTGATGACCTGAAGATGTTTTCGTATGGCGGTTGGCGCATCCATTCACCCAAGATCACGCTCATTCGCATAAAAAACTTTCTGGCCGATGAGGATCTCGATCGCACTCTACTTTGGACGAGCCAACGTGGTGAGATCCTCCTCTACCTGCAACATCTCCAGGAGAACGTATACGATGGGCAGGACTGGGGATACGATCTTAACGAGGTCATCAGCATGCTCCAGACGCATTGGGTGTACGAACAGCACCACTACGACGAGCCGGAGCTCATCCTCAGCTTTGAACCGGTTGAACACCCCAAACGGCTGCAGGCACCCCCCAACGCACCCATCATCATCATGACTGATAGTGAAGAGCAAACTGAACCGGTCAAGCCGCGATACTTGCAGCACCGCGTCCCTAAATCGGTCCATGATGTGGACTTCCAGATCCCCGGCCCCCTGCTGCGCACCCGTTTTCTGACATGGTTCCGAGAGGACCTGACGCGCCTGTGGCACTTTGATGACCCCGAGAGGCCCCTTATCGGTGGCATCGGCTCGGGCGCCCGCGGAGACAGCATGTTCGAGTATGGCTATAACCCAGACTTCAATTCGGCCGAGGTGGCCGACGACCGGTTCGTCAAGTGCATATCCCTGGGCACTTCTGAGACAGCCCGCACCCTTCGCGAGGAGTCCAACTTCTACCTAGCCCACAAGGACTTCATCGTGGGCAAAGAGGGAGCCCTGTGGCCAACAGGCCACGCCGTGCGGCGCTTTGCCGACTTTCGCGGCGCCAAGAGGGCGGCGTTGCAGCAGTGCATCGAGCACTTTGGGATCGTCGACGGCGACGTCGATGCCGCGGACGCCGGCGCGGAGCACTTCCGCAGGGCTCGTCCTGCCTACGCCCTGGCGCGAGAAGGAGCGGTTCCGGGCCGAGGCGCAAAAGA